CAAATTCATATACATATACATATGCATGTACGTATATATGTATATACATGTACCTATGGATATATATATATATACATATGTATATATACATATATATACATCTACATATACATCTACATATACAAAAGACTGACGTGGCGTTTCGCGCCATGCGTCTTGATCCTGACGCTTCCCCGGCAAAGCAATAAATCATCGTTTGGTTCATCGGGGGGGACCTTCAGGCCTGGACGGGCGGTCGGTTCATTTTTTTATGTCCCTGGTACCTGCTGACACCGCGTTCGCCAGATGCGCTTGCACGCTTGTGCGTAGGGGTGGGGAAGGAATGGTGACTTGCTCACGCGCGAAGGTGATGGCAAACGACGAAGTATCAAACTGGTGCGATGGCACCTGTCCATGAACGGGAAACGGGAAGGGAGCAGGGACGAGGGCTGAAGAGGCGGAAGGGGGAGGAGGGGGGCAGAAACGGGGAGAATGCCCAGAGGAAGGAGCGGGCGAATGAGGATGGCTATGGGATGCCACGACGTGGTCGACGAAAAAGGCACAGGGGGAAGGAAGAGACAGAGAGAGGGTGATAGAGGCACGGGAAAGACACGCGGGCTGGCGTGAACGCAACGAGCGCACGGAGAACGCCGTCTGGACGTTTTCGAAGCTCTTGTGGCCGTCCTGGGGCCCTGTTGGGCCGTCCCAGGGCCTTCTTTGGCCGTTTTGGGGAGCTGGGGTCCTCCAGAGGTCTTCTGAAGCCATCTAAAAACCTCTTGGGGGCCTCCAATGGCCTTCTTGAGGGTCTCCCATGGCTTTCGTGGGTCTCTCTTGGGAGCCTTCTGAAGGCATATTGGGTTTCTTTTGAGCAATCTCGGGGTTCTCTGGGGCATCCTTGGGGCCCTCTTGTACCGTCTTCAAGCCCTCTGGATGGCCTCTTGGGCCGCCTTGGGGCGATGTCGAGGGCCCATCGGGCCGTCTTGGACGCTGCGAGGACCCAAAAAGCGGATATGCTAAAAATGAACATGTTCCTAAGGGAATGGGACGATGTTTGCTTCTCCAGGGCTCCGTTAACGGCCTCTTGGAGCGTCTTGGGGGCCTCGTGGGCCGCCTTCGGACCATCGAGGTTCCTCTTGGAGCGCTCTTGTGCTGTCTTGGGTCTCTCCTGCGCCTCTCCGATGACCCCTCTGATCGCTTTGAGTCTGCTCGCAAGGCCCGGCAACGCGCCCTGGGAGGCCCGGCGGGGCCAGCAGACCTCTTTGTCCAAGGGAGTCCCTGGGGCCGCCAAGACGTCCGAAAGAACGTCCAAGGCGCCCCTTGGGGAGGGTCCGGTTTAGGGGGGGAAGGGGAGGGGTCGGGGGGGTCTAGGTAATTCGCCGGCCCAACAAGCCAGAGGCGTGCTGAGATCTCCGGTAACTACTAACAAAATTTCTAGTTCGCGCGCGCGGGGCGGCCCCTGGGGGCCCCCGGACGAAAAGTACCCCTGCCGATCCCTGGCTGACCCCCGGGCGATCCCCAGGGGGGGGGCTATTTTTCGCCACCCCTCACGAGGATCGTGGCCTCCGAGGGGGTGGCTGCAATCGACTACCCCACCTCCTGCCCCAAGGGGCCCCCAAGAGCCCCCCAAGAGGCCCCAGCCCCCAGAGGAACCCAAGACGCCGCCGAGGAGCCCCAAGAGACCCCCAAGAGGCCCCCAAGAGGCCCCGAGGAGGCCCCACAGAAGCCCCCAAGAGGCTTCAAAGAGGCCTCATAGAGCGCTTGAGGGCCGGCGGAATGAGCGAAGCGATTAAATAAAAATACAATTATCCCGGCAAAGCAACCTAACAGCGATGTGTAGGAGCATATCTGGAAGCATTCCCCTTAAGATTCAAATGAGAATCCAGTTGTAGAATTGTGCTGTTCTCGCAGTCGTAGTCGCATTCGCGATGACAGTCGCAGTTGCTAACGGCAGTCACGACCACAGCCTCAGCCTCGCCTGCCTCAGCCTCATGCTCAGCCTGCTCAGCTCAGCTGCTAGCCTCAGCCTAAGCTCAGCCTCCCTTCAGCCTCAGCCTTCAGTCTGCCTTCAGCCTCGCGTCAGCCTCAGGACTCCTCAGCCTCAGTCTCGGCCTCGGCCTCAGCTCAGCCCTTGCCTCAGCATCAGCTGCCAGCATCAGCCTCAGCCTGCCCCTCAGCATTCAAAAATGTGGCTGGGAAATTGTGTTCTGGGAAACTGAAGAACATCGATGTGGCCTACAGTTGGCTCCGGGCATTCAAAATCTGGCCCGGGAACGGAGTTCTGGGAACTCGAAAAGCACGAAGTGGCCTACAGTTAGCTCCGGGCATCCAAAATCTAGCCCGGGAATGAGTTCTGGGAACTCGAAGACCACGAAGTGGCCTACAGTTGGCTCCGGGCATCCAAAATCTGGCCCGGGAATGGAGTTCTGGGGACTCGAAGACCACGAAAGGCCTTCAATGGCTTTTCGGGCATTCAAAATGTGGCCCGGGAATGGAGTTCTGGGGAATCGAAGAGCACGAAGTG